ATGGTTGTGACAGGAGGAGAAGGAAGTCCTGAGAGCACGACAAAGGGAAACCGACAAGGTTTAGTAACTGCCTAGAGTCAGGGGCTGAGGGGTACAGGAGAGAAAAATCAAGTATGTTGATGAGAACGATGGTGGTACAACAGGTGAAAATACAGTTGGGAAGGAGAGCCAGTTTGAGGGAAATGGATTCAGTTTTATTGATGAACATAAAGCAACCAGAAGGCTTCTTCTGTTTGAGTGGAAATGTCCCGTGGGCAGGTGGCCAGACAGGTATCTGTTTTGACTTATTTCTGATCCCCCTGAAAAATGTGCATATAAGCTAAATCATTGTTGCTGAGGGAAGAGGACAAAGCTAAAGGTAAAGATTCAAAGCCATCCACAGTGGTTGAAACTGAACCTCAAGCACTTAACAGCTTCTTTTAAATGTGTAAAGTCATGGATACATTCTCACTGTTTAAAAGAAAACATCATAGAAGTATATACAGGCTAAAATGTGACATTCTCTCCCCACCCTCCTTCCCACCCATAAGATAACTATGTTACTGTTTTGATGTGTGTCCTTCCTTCCAGTCTCTTTCCTTTGCATTTTTTCCCCTAATGAGGTAATAACTTTACTCCTCGTTCAGCGATCTGTGCTTTTCCTTTTGCAATATGTCTGAGAGAGAGTTTTCCATATTAGTCTCTAATTTCTAACTGCCCCTATCCTTCCAATACCTGGAGAGTTAGAGGGCACTGAGCCAAAGCTTTGGTGTTACCTGGCATAAGATTTCTTTACTTGCTGATAATGATACATTTTTGCCATTTTTATCATTGATTTGTAGGAGTCATTTTAGACACATAAGTGACTTTGGGAGAAAAAAGACTTACATTGAAAACAATTGGCAATATATATCCAAGAAAATGGACAGACAGGGTCAGGTTCTGAGGAGATGCCTCATCGTTTGTGCCAGTGGCGTCACATTATATCTTTATTATATCTTTAGGAATTGGGCCCACTGGGAAGCTGAGAAGCTGTGGGAGTTAGAAAGCTGGTCTTTTCTGCATTTGAGTATTCCCCACAAGGTTGCCATGATTGTCTCACTTACTCTGCTCATTCTCTTCCTACCTATTTAAGGATATGAACTGTGTTTCTTCACAGAGATTTCCAAGGAAACTCTATTTCTTACATTGATGAAAATACATGGAAGCCTTACCACTGGACTGAGAAACTGTGAGTATATTCTCTCTAAATATGCATACAAAACACTAACTGCCTTGTCACATTCTTCTTGGTCCAGAATTCCGAGGTCAACAGCTGTGTTAAAAGGTATTTCCCCCTTCACATTCCAAACCAACCTATTGATTGAAATTCTGTGTTTATTTAAAAAATTAAACTTGGCAGGCCCTCATTCAAATAAGCAAGAACCAATTTAAACTTATTTTCCATTATACCAGTAATACATGATTATATCCTCCATATAGAAAAATGAAATAACAGGTGTAGTGAAAACCCTCCTTGTGCCTTAATCCCCCACTCACACAATTTTGAGTTTAGTAACAGTCCTTCCAGACTCTTTTCCTTGTATTTGACTACATACATATTTACAGATAACGATAAGTTAGTTGTGTGACTTTATTATACCTTTTTACATAAGTGGTAAAATCTTGCAACTTGATTCTTTAATGTCACGATACGTCTTAGATTTCTTTACTTCTCAGTACATAGAGGGTTGCCCCATTCATTTAAACTCCTGCATAATAGTCCATAGTATTGGACATATCAGTTTAATAATGCCCATGTTGAAAGGTGTTTACATTATGTCCAGTTTTCTTGTTACAAACACTGTTGCAATGAACATCCTTGTACATGCATCTTTGTGAGCCTGTGAGGTATTTCTGTAGAATAGATACCAGAAATGGGATTGTTGGGGTGAAGACTATGTAGATAAAAACTTCTAATTGCCCTCAAGCACCTTGTGCCAGTTTCAATTCAGTCAGCACTCCCTGACAGCCTTTACTTCCCCACAGCCTTCCACTGCTGGATATTCCTCATGTTTTTGGCTGATCTGAAGGGTGAATAAAAGGGGTTCCATCTGAATTTGAATTTTTCTGAGTACCTGTGAATTTAAATATTTTATATGTGTGCTGAGCATTTGTATTTCATCTCTGAATTGTCTGTCCTTTACTCATTTTTCTATTTTTTTATACTGATTTGTAGACAAGTCAGGTTAGATAAAATAAGTGATTTTAGGGGAAAAGCTATATTCAAAGCAGTTAACTGGCATTTTTCATGGCAGTTTGTATTACTCAACTTGAATAGACAAATCATAAATATGACTTCCAAATTACATTGTTGATAAGATGTTCTACATCTTTTTGCATTGTCTTCAAAAATATCCAAAGTATTGTCATATCTACCTGTAATCAGTATAAAAATTAATGAGTCTCCGTAGTGTTTGTCTGTACTGTTTGAAATCTCAATTTTGTTGCTGAATTTTATTTGTACTTAGCTTTCTTAAAATTTACAGTTGAAAAGTTGTATCACATACCCAAATTGTTGCAAACACACTTAAAGTTTTCCAGTAATTACACTATCAGTTTTTACATTTTAATTTTAAAAATAATTAAATTAAATTAGAATTCAACTCCTTAGGCACATTAGCCACTCAAGCACTCAGTAGCCACATGTTGCTAGACATGCAGCACTACATGCTACATGCAAGAGTAAAATAAATTTACAAAATATTGTTGAATGAAAGAACATAGAGAATAATACACAAATGATTCCACACACATAAAGTTCAAGAAGAATAAGTTATATTCTTTGTGGCTGATGTATAAAAGGCAAAACTACATGTGAAAAAGAAGGAAATCAGTATTAAAGTCAGGATAGTGGTTTCCTCTAGGGAGAGGGCTGCAATTGGAAAGGAGCACAGCGGGGGCTCCGGGGGCGCTGGCTGTGTTCTTTCTTGACGTGAATGGTGTCACATGCGGATTTCTAATTATTAAAGTGAACAGGTATGTATATTTTACGTACATTTTAATTTTGAAAAAAAAAATTTTCAGTGGGGACAAAAATCAGAAGACTTCATTTCCAGCCCTGATATACTCTGTCTGGGACTTCCAGATACGGTTTGGGAAAAGCGAGAAAGGAGTGGCAGCTCTGCAGCATCAGTGCTGCCCAGAGTTGGGTTCTAACCAAGGACTTGTGATCGGAAGAATAGGCATTAAATACATGATTTGGTAAGGAAGAGTGGATAGGGGTGTGTGCGTGCGTGCGTGTGTGTGTGTGTGTGATGAAAAGACATGGACACAAAGGAAGATGTGAGAAGAAATGATTAAATGAAACTGGAGTGGAGATCACCATGTCTAAAATAAGAATTAAGGTACTCAGGTGGCACCATTACCCAGATTTCTCCTACATATGGGAGTTAGTCCTATGTAGTAAATAATTGTAGTTGTTTTGCATTTTGATCCAAAAATAACCTTTTCATTTTTCAGAATTCTCAGAGATAATTCTTTGAGTTACATAAGGATTCATTTAAAGGCTTGCTAGTCCTCCGGTATTTGTAAGTTAATTAGTTAACCATTTATTTATGAGTTCTTAGTTGTATTATCGATAAAGTAATTAAGGGGTTTAAATTAAATAACCTCTACAGTCTTTTTGAGCAATAAAATTCTGTGATTCTCTAGGTCTGTAGGGCCCCAGCCCATCTCTAGCATCAAATACCTCCTATTCATTTTTAATTTTTAAATTTATATAGACAAGATATAGATAGAAAAACACCTTTTAGTTGTAGAGGAAAAGTGGTAATGTGGTCTGAGCAATTATAGATACCCATATGAACCTTATTATATAAGTGTTCATATACCATCCACTTACATTTAGTTTATGGCCCGCAGATCAGATCCATCCCATGATCTGTATTTGCACAGCACACAAGTTAAGGACGATGTTTAAAGGGCTGTAAGTGGGAAAATGGAGGGAAAAGACAAAGGAAAACACACAGCAGAGACTGTGTGTGGCCTGCACAACCTCACGGACTCACTGTGTGGCCTTCACAGAAAAGGTCTGAAAAAGGTGCTTTAGTAGAATGAGAGGAATTAAAGTAAAGCTCAGATTATCACCTACAGGACCAGAAAATATAGAACACTTACATTAATATGAATGCCATTAATTCATAATTTTAATGTAAATTAAATTCACATTTAAATGTTAAATATTAAAGTAGATGAATTATGTAAACAGTATTGTCCAGAACATATCAAGTTACCAAGAGAACAGACTGGTGTTAAGGATTCAATGCAGGAATTGTTATACCAATATTAAAAATGTTTAAGATGATGGTTAAAGTGGTATAGTTATAATTGTTTACACCAAATATGCATATTAGAAGTGTCCCTAACTTCACTAATTACAAAACGAAAAACTGCAGTGTCATTATACAAGGAAAGAAATGCTTGCATGGTATTTTTGTTAATTTAGAGATAAGGAGATACTGTGTTCTCTACTATAAAAGATCAATTTTTATCTTTTGTCTGTGGCATCTAGAGCTGTGTATGTCATTAATCCTTACTAAGCTAACTAATGACGCTCTTTAGCAGAGATTCTTCTTGCAAATATGGAAGGCTGAGGGAAGGGGGTATAAGGAGCCTCACATGACCCTAAAAATAGTCCTTTTAACTATCAAGCCATCCAAGCCTTAAGGGGCAACCACTTTTGTATTAGTCTTCTTGGGTCCCTCTGTCATCTGGGCTCCAAACCTTAGAAACACAGTTTGGAGAAAAATAAATGAGATAACTGCTCAATAGATTAGGCCATTAATTACTTCTACTATGAAATACCCTCTTAGCAGATTATTTCATGTTAGCATAAATTATTCTCACTCATTTAAAAAAATGTCAATCAGTAAAAAAGAATATGCCAAGCAGTGTGCCTAGTGTTGTAAACACGATAGGTAAAACAGTTCCTTCTAGGAAATCCTGATCTTACAGGGAAAAAAAAAAAACCTAAGCTCAAACCGTCATGCAGAAACACTAAGTGGATGACAAGAGTGCTGTAGAGGCATAGAAAAGGGAGTGTTTCTTCTAAAACAGTGATTTTCTTCCTCCTGTTCACTCCCCAGCTAGTTGTTTATTTTAAAAACTATCTGACTTTGCTTTGTGTTCACGCATTGGCTTTAAACATGATAGACAATGCACATGAGTGGGTCTAGTCCATACATTCAAGGAGTTTATACTCAGAGGAAATGGGCTGCAAAAATAGCTATATAAGAAAAAAAGTGGAGAGGGGCAATGAGAGCTCTAAGTTGGTTTTGGAGCTCAGAAGAGGGAAGACTCCAAACTGGATCAGGGAAAATGTTAGAGCAGTGCTGTCTGAACAGGACCTTAAAGGGCCACTGTATGTCATCAGACAGACATCTTGGGAAGAGTACATTTGCAAAAAGAAGGTAGGAGAGATGCAAAACACAGGAAACATGCTTTGAGTGCCTGTAGAGTACAAGTAAGAAGAGTAGGAGATTAGGGCCAGGTCATCTAGGGCTTTGAAGGCCACGCCAAGGGTAACACGCCAAGCTGCCCCGTTCCCACAGCAGTGCTCTTGGACAGACTCGAGCCTGCAGCAGAGTCAGTCACTTGGAGGGCTTGTTAAAGCGCAAGTTCTGCCCCACAGTTGCTGATTCAGTTGGTCCAGAGTAGAGCTGAGCATTTCTTCAGTAAGTTCACAAGTGATGGTGGTATTTGAGAACCACGTCTGGAGAGTTAATCTGGTGACTGTACAGGATGGCTGAGAAAGGGACTACAGGTGCAAACACCAGTCAGAAGATAGTTACACCCACCCAGGAGAAAGGAGAGACTGAGTTAGAATCAGTGGAAGTAAGATAGCCAGCTATAGTCAAGTGTGGGTGTTTCAAATAAGTCAGTATTTTAGTATAATGCTGAATTAGTTCAAATTACACATTAATAAGAGGAGTAATCCCTTTCAAGTCGTGTGAAAGCCTTTTATTCTGGTATTGAATTGGCGTAGAAAAACAGGATTGAACTGAGAGTTGTGTAAATAGAGTATTGCTTTTCATATTAAACATTATAATTATATATCAAGGTAAAAACTTCTAGCTTATAATCTAGAATTTGTTGAGACCACAAAAGGTTATCTAATCAATTCTTCTGCTCTGAGAGATTACCTCCAAAATCTACCAAGATCTATATAGGTGTATGTTTTTAGTAAACATAATGAAAGTGAGACTCTTAAGATGGGTGAGGGCAGGGTTAGGGGCTTTGGAAGGTTTAAATAACAATTCATAAGGTTTAGAGATTATATAGAAGCTGCTTATTCATTGTTATTATTCTAACCTCTAGTAGTTATTCCTACTAATTAGATATCTAGTAGCTAATTGAGGCAATATTTTCCTTTTCCTTTTCCTAGAGATTTATCTTGCAATAAAATACAGTTTATTGAAAGCGGTACATTTGAATCACTACCTTTTCTGCAGTTTGTGTAAGTTACAAATATAACTTCATTATGTTTGGAATTTTTATAAAAGTTAATTTTTTATAAAATTAATTTGCTACTGATTTTGAAACATTAAAATTTTAGTGTAGAAAGCTACTAGAATTATGTAGCTAATTCTTTTTGTCTCTCGCAAAGATTTGCACTCAGATGACATTTGGCAATATCTGGAGACATTTTTGGTTATCAGAACTATAGTTATGCTGCTGCCATCTGGTGGACAGAGGCCGGAGATGCTGCTAAACCCCCTACAGGGTACTAGAGAGCCCCCCACAACAAAGAGTTGTCCGGCCCAAAATGTCAGTAGTACTGCCCTTTGGTAGAGAAGAAAGGATCACTTATCACAAATACTTACTGAGGATTTACCGTTTTGTATCTAATGCACCATGTATATAATCATGAAACTATAAATCATGAGCAACTATTTTCCACAGTGAGATTTCTTTAGTGTATGGAAGGGATAATGAGGTCATGTTTCATTGCATATAAATTAGAATTACTGCCAAAGGATAATGTTCTGAAAGAATATTTTTTTCTTCTTCTTTTGCTTCTTTTTTTTTTTTTTTTTTTTTTTCTTTCTCTCTTTTGTAGCAATCTTGGTTGTAATTCAGTCACAGACCTGAGCTTTGGAACGTTCCGGGCCGCACATGGAATGCAGTTTCTACAGAAGGTGTAAGTGAAATAGATGAATACATGTGAAAAACTATGTTTTGGTTATTGGTAATTGGTTATCTGGGTGTAAGCTCACTGTGGATTCCAGAAATTATGTCTTGAGATCGATTCTTTTTTTTTTCTTTTTTCTTCTTTTTTTTTTTTTTTCAAATGAGAAAACTAAGGTACAAAGAGGCCATGAGACTTGTCTAATTCATATATGGAACACTTTGCTCTCCCTAGTACTGATGTTTGGCACGAGCAATAAAATAAAAGGCACCCGACAGAAACACTCAAATTAGCATTGTCATGGAATCCCATTGTTGTTGCTCCAATATGCGAATAGTACTTGAAATTCCACCTTTGAATTTAATCCCTGCTCATGTGCAAAATTCCTAACTACTTAAAGCTTATGCAGCACAGAACTGCAAAGAACTAAGTTTAGCCCAGAATTCTTCAGGGAGCAAAAGGTATGGGTGCCTTCTCAAGTATTAGCTTCCTTTAAATGGTAAAGCAGAGAGAATTCTTGAACATCCACTTCTCTCCCCAACCATCCAAAACATTATTTTTCAAAAAGTCTATATTAGTCTGAAGTGAATTGTCTGTGGCCAATAGGAACCTTGGTTCGGATGTTTGTGTTAAGCTGTAGTGTGAAAAATACAAAGAATATACATTGCTATCACTGAATTCTCTATTCTGTCTTTTCTGACTACTTCTAATAAGAAGTGTGGGTTTTTCAGAACCTTGAAAATTCTGTGACTTCTCCATGTCACAAGCAGATCACAGCAGGTAGGTTCAGTGGTCTGAAGGGGATTTTAGACTCAAGGTGAAACCTTGAGTCTCCTCTAAATCAGGCTCTGGAAAAGACTTCTGTTTGTCTTGTGGTTCAGAAATTCAGTTTCACACAGATTTCTTTGGGTTAATGAAGGTGTCGAGGGTGCATCTGGAGCTGGACTAACAGTTCTGCAGATGCCCACCAGTGGCAGCCTCCCTCCCCCTTTCATTAGTTCGCTGGTACCTAACTTGTGGAAAGAGAACAAAGGGTCAGTTTTTCTCTTGCCAGCGCACCGGAAAGGGGGCTCATTAGGTCCCTCCTCCAAGAGTTTTTTTTTTTTTTTTGATCGGAAGTAGCTTTATTGAGATACAGTTAATATATCATACAGTTTACCCACTTAAAGTGTACAATTCAATGGTTCTTTATATGTTCACAGATGGGTACAACTGTCCTTACAGTCAATTGTAGAACATTTTCATCACTCCAAAAAGAAATCCTTCATCCTTTGGCCTTCAGCCCCCTACCCATCCACTCTCCCAGGTCCCCAGCCCCAGACAGTCACCAATCTACTTTCAGTCTCTATAGATTTGCCTATTCTGGACATTTCACATAAGCAGAATCATTGAATATTGTGACTACTGGCTTCTTTCACTTGGCATAATATTTTCCAGGTTCTTCTATGTTGTAGCCTGTATCAATGTTTCATCCCTTTTATGGTTGAATAATATTCCACCACATGGAGTATACCACATTTTGTTTATCCATTCATGTAGACAGTGCATCTTCATTTTCAGCATAGCCTGTTGAGTGTTGCTGGTCGAGTCTTCCTTTTTTTTTAACATTTTTTATTGATTTATAATCATTTTACAATGTTGTGTCCAATTCCAGTGTTCAGCACAATTTTTCAGTCATTCATGGACATGTTACACACTCATTGTCACATTTTTTTCTCTGTGATTTATCTCCAAGAGGTTTTAGTAGCATTGGTACCATGTCTTAAACTCATGACCTTTCCTAAACATTTTATAACACCGAGAGTCTCTTTTAGAATCTAAGTTTCCTTATGGTTATGTAGGCGAGCCAGGAGAGAAAGAATTGTGGAATCACAGTAGATAAAAATGAATGAATTTATTGGAAAACACTCACTGAATGCCATGTGCACTATGTGTCTGCACTTCACTAAGTGCTGGTGTTACAAAGAAGAATAGGCCAAAGATTTTGTCCCCAAGAACCTTTCATACTGGAAGAAAATTGATGGTAAAACTTACGAGAGCCATACTAGCATCTCTGCAGCAGGGGAGCCAAGTAGGGA